ACGATCTCAGACGGAGGATCGAGGTACTTCTTAACCTTCAAGGATGAAGCGACCGGCTACAGACATGTGTACTTCATGAAGAAGAAATCCGAGGTGTGCGAGAAATTCAAGATCTTCGAGAAGATGATCGAGAACAAGTTCGACCGAAAAATGAAAACACTACGCTCGGATAATGGTCGGGAATTCTGCAACAAAGAACTGAACGATTATCTCGAAAAGCGTGGAATCCAGCAAGAAACGACGGCGCCCCATAATCCGGAGCAAAATGGCAAAGCCGATCGCGAAAATCAAACGATAGTCGAAAGTGCGCGCACGATGATAATCGCAAAAAATCTACCGTTGAACCTATGGGCAGAAGCAGTGAATTGTGCGGTATATGTTCTAAACCGAACTGTGTGGACGAGTGGTGCAGTAACGCCGTACGAAGCTTGGGCTGGAAAAGCTCATAACCTGAAGCATCTACGAATTTTTGGTTCGGATGCGTACGTGCACACTCCCAAACAATTCACGCGAAAATTCGATGCGCGAACGAGCAAAAAGATCTTCGTCGGGTATACAAAGGAATCGACGAATTACCGGGTGTACGATCCGGAAACGAAAAAGGTCAGCATAGCTCGCAATGTTGTGTTCAACGAGAAAGTCGGAGTGTCGTCAGCGAAAGCAGAAGAGAAGGAAGAAGAAAACGAAGTAATTCTTCCACGACCACAAGCCGAAGACAAGAACGAGTACGAGAACGGGAACGTGATCGACGCCGAAGGAGACGACGGCGACAACAAAGAAAAGAAAAGGACAACAACGAGGCCGAGGAACGAGAGAACGAGCCAGCACGAGAAGGTCCAAGAAACCTGCAAAATCGCTCGAAAATTCAGACTCCGAACAGGTACCGGCACAACGCAAACGTTGCCGAGTACATCGAACCGATGACGTACGAAGAGGCTACAAATAGCACTGAAGCCGCGCAGTGCGCGGGCGCTATTCAAAACGAGTTCAAAGCGCACGAGGAAAACAATACGTGGAAACTCGTGAAAAGAACGCCGGAAATGAGACTGATTGACTCGAAATGGGTGTTTCGGGTGAAGAGGGATGCAGACGGGAAGTCGTATCGATTCAAGGCACGATTGTGTGCGAGGGGCTTCCGACAACAAGAGGGGATCGACTTCAAGGAAACGTTTTCTCCAGTGGTGAGATATGACTCACTGAGAGTATTGCTGGCGATAATCGCTGCGAAAAATCTCGAAGTAATGCAGTTTGACGTACAAACTGCATTCCTATACGGAGAGCTGGAAGAGACGATATTTATGGAAATCCCGGAAGGACTCAAGGTGAAAGAAGATTCCAGGAACGTCGCATGCAAACTCAAGAGGTCTCTCTATGGGCTAAAACAGGCTCCAAGATGTTGGAACCTGAAATTCACGAAATTTCTGAACAAGTACAACTTCAAAGAGTGCGAAGCAGACAAGTGCGTGTTTATCGGGAAATTCAAGGACGACGTAGTGTATTTGGCAGTATTTGTCGACGACGGCCTGGTCGCCTCGAACAATGTAAAGACTCTTAAGATAATAATTCAGCGACTAAACGAAACGTTTAAAGTAACGGTCGAGAATTCAAATATTTTTGTCGGGCTGCAAATCGAACGCAATAGAGAGCGAAAAACGTTAAAGATTGTTAAAAGTTTTAATTACAGAACAAGTGTAACTCACTTTAACACACATGTATTAGTTTTATTCTAATTATTCAATGCCTTTCGACACGCGTATAAATGGGAGGCCGTCGCACGCGCCTCAGGTTTTACAGACTCTATTTGAGTGATACAATTAGAATATAAGAAGAGTAACACTAAACGAAATTACTACTAATTAATACTCAAGTACAACGCTGGATCGCTACGCTGACTTTTAGTCGTTCTCGCACCGCGCAGTCACTCAGTCGCTGTTCGCTCGCTCTTTCTCACAGGTGTGCACACCTCGACGGTCGCTCGGATAAAAGGGACGACTCACGGATCCTCTCGCTGAGGTTCTCTCACACAGCGGCGCTGCCTAAGTCTAACTCGCTCAGTGTAGCCAACCAGCACTGAAATTATTCTATATATGAAATATATCTTTTAACACTTTCTCTTAATTTCTGTGCTAGTCCGCTAACAGTTGTTCTTTGAATTTGTTGAATTTGTTTGTATTTAGCGGTTTCGTAAGGATATCTGCCAATTGATCGTTTGTCGGACAGTATTTAATTTTTACAATGCCGTCTCTGGCTAATTCGTGTAGGAACCTAAACTTAACATCTATATGTTTTGAGCGCTTGTTCATTACACCGTTTTTGATCAACGCAATAGCACTCTGATTATCTATATTAAGTTCTATTGACATAGTTATTCCTAAGAGTTCTTCGAATAATGATTTCAGGTACAACAGCTCCTTGCAGCATTCCGCTGCAGCAATGTATTCCGCTTCAGTGGTTGACAAAGCGATTACGGACTGTTTCCTTGAACACCAACTGATCGCTCCGCCTGCGTACATTATCACATAGCCTGTTGTACTCCTCCTCATTTCTTTATCTCCTGCGTAGTCTGCTTCGCAGAATGCCTTCAGTAGTTTTATGTTTCCCGTCTTCTCGTACACGATTCCTTGTTTGACATTTCCGTTTAGATATTTCAAAATATGCTTCAGGTCCGTGATTCGTTCTTGAGTCGGCGCTTCTACATATCTACTGCAGAAACCAACGCTGTATGCAATATTCGGTCTTGTTTTTGTCGACACGTACAGCAAACTTCCTATTATCTCCCTGTAAGGGTATTCTTTGGCTTTTGGTTCTGTTTTTGTTACATCTCCTGGCTGCATCGGTATTTTTACTGGCTTTGCATTGTTTATTCCACATTGGGTGAGTAGTCTTTTAATATACTCTTTCTGCGACAATTTTACTATGTTTTGTATCTTCGCGATTTCAAATCCTACAAAGTTGTCGGGTTCTTGCATTACTGAAATCTTGAATTCCTTTTTGAGGTTTTCCAATATTTGTTCTATTTGTGTGGAATCGTCAGCTATTATAATTCCGTCGTCGACGTAGATTCCCATTATCATTTCACTGTTCCTTTTTATAAATAAATATTGTTCGCTCTCCAGTGGCTGGAATCCTTTTTTCTTCAGAAAGTTCGTGAACTTGATGTTCCAACGGAGGGGTGCTTGTTTCAGACCATATAAAGCCTTTTTCAGTTTAAATATTTTTCCTTTGCATTCATATCCTTCCGGGGGATACATGTACACTTCGTCTGTTAGTTCTCCATACAGGAAAGCAGCTTTTATGTCGAACGTCACTATCTTATAATTCTTCATGACTGCCATCGCGAACAGGCTTCTCAGAGCCGTCGAACTTATCACTGGGCTATAGGTTTCCATATAATCCACTCCGTATTTCTGCTCGCATCCTTTTATTACGAGCCTGGCTTTATATCTCCCATCTTGTTTGATTTTAAAGATCCACTTGCTATGGAGTGGTTTTTTATTTTTCAATTCTTTAATATCGAGTACATCCCAGGTATTATTCTCTTTTAGAGACTCCTTTTCTTCTTTTATTGCCTGTATCCATTTTTGTTTTTCAGGGCTTGTAACAGCCTCCTCAAATGTCAGCAATACATAGTCTCCGTACCAGTCTGGTCTTTTTCGTGCTCGGTTCGACCTTCTCGCTGTATGTTTTTCATCTTCCTCTGATTGTTCCTGTTCGTTTTCCAGTTGAAAGTTCTCTTCTTCCGCATCTGTATAGTCTTCTTCTCCACTGTTTTCTTGCTCATTATCTTCCTCTTCAGCTATTTCATTTTGCTCTTTGTCCTCCTGTTCATTTATTAATTTATTTATCGTTACTTCTCTATTTTCTGTCTTTGCCTTTTTTACTGTCCATTCTCTGAAGTTGACGTCTCTTGCTATCTTTATTTTTCTTTTCTCCTTGTCCCACAATCTATATCCTGTAGGCGCATAGCCAACGAAGACGTAGCTCTTGCTTCTTTCTTGTAGTTTCTTTATTGGCTTCAGTACTTTGGCAAAGGCTTCACTTCCAAATAGTTGTAGATGTTTTAAGCTGGGCTTTTTGCCCTCCCACATTTCGAATGGTGTGGTTTTTACGGTGTCAGTAGGAGATCGGTTTGTTAAATAAACAGAAGTATACAGTGCTTCTCCCCACATTTCCTTTTCTAGGCCTGAATCAAAGAGCAGAGCTCTTGTTTTGTCCATTAACGTTTGATTCAGCCTTTCCGTTTTACCGTTGAGCTGTGGCGTGTAAGGTACCGTCGTGTCCAGTTCTATTCCTTTATTTTCACACCAGGCAATTACTTTTCTGTTGATGTATTCCTTCCCGTTATCACATCTCATTTTGGAAACGCGTAGATTCCAGCGAGCTTCCACTCTTTCGGTATAGACTTTTATTTTTTCAGGCACTTCGTCTTTAGTTTTTATCAAGAATGCCATGGTGTGGTGTGTGAAATCATCCAAGAACGTGATCACATATCTTTTCCCGTCCCACGTTGGTGGATCGATTGGACCACACAGATCCGTATGTATTATTTGTAATGGTCTTTCTGCCTTAGTTCTTAAATTCTTGAACTTTTTCCTCGTCTGTTTTGCTTTATTACAGATTTCACACACTTTCTCCAGATCTTTGAGGTCTGTTGTCTTCAGGTTAATTTCTTCGTTCATCATTTGAAGAGTTTTCAGTCCTTCATTACTTATGTGTCCGAGTTTTCGGTGCCAATTGACTGCAGCACAACTCGAACTTTCCGATAGATACGATTTATTAGCATTTATCGGTTTTAAGTTAACCTGAAACAAGCCATTTTGCATTTTTCGTCCTTCTATAATAGTTTTACTTTTATGACTTATTGTTACTTTATTCCTATTAAATAATACTTTACCGCCACTTTCTGTTATTGCGTGTACAGACAAGAGATTCGTGCTCAGCTCTGGCACATACATTACATTTTTCAACCTGCAATTTTCAAATTCAATGGATCCAGATCCTTTCGCCACCATTGTTTCATTTGCTTTCGCTACTCTTATTTTCGAATCAGTTTTGTTGAGATGTTTTATATATTCTTCTCTGTTGGTCATATTCGAGGTGGAACCTGAGTCCACTATCCAGATGTCATCTTCTTGTAGACCGGCTGCCATAAACGCCACTTTTTCTGTTCTTTCATCTTTAGCCTCTTTCTTTTTCCTGAAGTCCTGCAGTCCTTTTCTTTATGATTGCTCTTTTTGCAGATGCTGCATCTCTCTGTTTTAGGCTTTTCATCACATGATCTTGCCATATGACCTTTCTTATTGCATTTAAAGCAGCGCACTTCTTTCTCATTGGGCCTATTCTTCGTTCTACAGTCTTTTGCCATGTGTCCTGGTTTATTGCACTTGTAGCATTTTTTGTTTATTGCTTTGAAGGCGACCGCTTTTTCTTCCGACTGCCTATCTTTGTCTCTCATCTCTTCTGCAATTAATCGTGCAGTCAAATTTTCCAGAGTTCCCTCTCCTTTTGGGGTCGAGTCCCACGCAGTAGCAAAGTGTTTATACTCTTGCGGTAACGTGGCTAGGATTTTCGAGATAATCATTTGATCTTCGATTTTCGTGTCCATTGCGTTCAGTCTCATTGCTATGTTTTTGAGTTTACTTATGTATGACATTATATCCAGATTTTTTTCGTGGGTCATACTATAAAATGTCTGTAAAGGACTACATTTCTGTTGTTCATTATCCCTCTGGTAAATTGTAGCAATTTTTGTCCACATCTCGTGTGCAGTTTTACAGTTCATTATGTATAGTAGCGGTTTCTTGTCTACTGTCGTAGCAATAATTTTTTGTGCCTGTGCATTCTTTTTCTTCCACGCATTAGTTTTTTCATTTTCCACAGTTTCCGTGTCTATTATATCGAATAACTCATGAGCTCGAAGTATTATTCCGATTTGAAATTTCCATATTTGGTAGTTTTCCGCGTCGATCAGTTTTTCTATGTTTGCCGAGTCTTCTGTTAGAGCTTTAGCCATTGTAGCTCTTTTCTCTTTCCTATTATAGTTGTATTATTTCACCTAAGGGAGACTGAAAAAATTAATTCCCGAGTTTTGTTTTTGAACGAACTACCGTTAGCTAAATTTATATTAATATATATATGTGACCGGAAATGTTCGCTTACACGCTTATTACGTACTTTCCGTATTATCGCTACCTATTATTTGTTAGATATTATAATTCGGCTTTGCCTTCGTTAAGCTGTTGCGGTCTGTTTCTGTTTACTTGTTTTTACGTGTTTTCGTCTTTCATCCGCGCGCCTGCTTTTCTAGGTTAAACAGCGCACATTTCTTAATTTAATTCCTTTAAGAATTTATTACTTACTTCGTTTCAATTATTACACTGCTTTTAATTTTTTTTCAAGCGATCTTTTTTACTTTCGCGACTTTCTTACACTCGCCCTTTTTTTTCCCGTATAATTTATCCACGCGTACACGTGTTGTTTCAGTGAGATAACTTCTCTGTTCTCGCGCAAAGATTCTTACTTTTTCTCCTTTCTAGAGCAAGTATTGAGCATCTGGGCCCATAACCTGTTAAAAGTTTTAATTACAGAACAGGTGTAACTCACTTTAACACACATAAGTGAGTGAACTTGTAACAATGCATCCCCCATTGTGACTTATTGTTACCCGGCAGTAGACCGCCGGAAGTCTGCCGCCCGGCGAACATTGGCCGGGCAGGGGCAGAGGCGCCGAGCGCCCATTTTTAAACATTAAACACCGCCGTTGCGATAAACAACCGTACGGCCGTTATACGGCCGCCGAGATTCGGAAAGCCGAATACCGCCGAGCGTTGCCGTGAACGCCCGAGCGACACCCGCCGAAACGCCGCGCCGTTTCGCCCAGGGGAGGTGACGTATTACCGATAATTACCTGCCGAAAAACAATACGTCATTATCCCCACCCTGGGGCAAATGACGCGGGTACCGTTAGTCGCTCGGGTATATCCTTTTTAGATCCCGGCACCAGAATCGTACCAGAAACCGAATCCGCTCGAGCTGTACGCTCGAGACTTTCCTGATCCGATCCTAAGAAATCGCAAACACGACGGAACGCGAGGTTGACGAGTTCGCTGCCTCCGCCGAGCATTCTCGGCTTCCGAACCGCTTTACGATCAGTTGAAATCCAGGATCGCTTCTCTCGAGAGTTCTCGAGAAACGATCTAACTTCCGACCGATCCGACCATACGAACCGTGGGCTGGCGAGTTCGCCACCCCGTTGAGTTTTCTCAACACCGTTGGTCAATCCGCGTGCGAACAAGGGACAGCGAGTTCGCTGCCCGTTCGAGATTTCTCGATATCGCACGCATCCCATAACATCTGGTAATACGCGATATAAATAGTACCGCATATCAACCGAGCGAATCCGCGAGCTCATAAAAAGTACACCCGTTACAAACTCACTTTAACAATCCATGTATTAGTTTTATTCTAATTATTCAATGCCTTTCGACACGCTTATAAATGGGAGGCCGTCGCACGCGCCTCAGGTTTTACAGACTCTATTTGAGTGATACAATTAAAATATAAGAAGAGTAACACTAAACGAAATTACTATTAATTAATACTCAAGTACAACGCTGGATCGCTACGCTGATTTTTAGTCGTTCTCGCACCGCGCAGTCACTCAGTCGCTGTTCGCTCGCTCTTTCTCACAGGTGTGCACACCTCGACGGTCGCTCGGATAAAAGGGACGACTCACGGATCCTCTCGCTGAGGTTCTCTCACATAGCGCCGCTGCCTAAGTCTAACTCGCTCAGTGTAGCCAACCAGCACTGAAATTATTCTATATTTGAAATATATCTTTTAACAATGATTCATCAGAGCGCGTACACGCGAAAGATAATCGAAAAGTTCAGAATGGCGAACGCAAAAACGGTGAATGTACCAGCGGATCCGTACGCAGCACTATCCCCAACTAAGGAGGACGACGGAAAATTGAGTAACGTGCCTTATCGCGAGGCAGTAGGGTCGTTAGTTTTCTTAGCGGCCGTATCGAGACCGGACATCGCGTTTGCGGTAAACTCAGTAAGCAAATACTTGAGCAAACACAATGCGATACACTGGCGAGCAGTAAAGCGAATATTCGCGTATCTACAAGGCACGAGCAATTACGGTATCAAGTATGGAAGCGGCGGTAGTGAAGCAGCATTAATAGGTTTTTCGGACGCTGACTACGCCGAAGATATCGAAACGCGAAGATCCACGACGGGATACGTTTTCTGTCTCGCGAACGGGCCCGTCACGCGGTCGTTGCAGCAGCAACGACTGGTGACGCTAAGCACAACGGAAGTCGAGTACGTGGCTGCATCGACAGCAGCACGAGAAGCAGTATGGATAAGAAAGTTACTATCGAACATCGGATGTCCTTGTGATAAAGAGACGACTCTATACGTCGATAACCAGAGCGCAATTTAACTAGTCAGAAATCCAGAATTTCACAAGAGAACAAAGCATATAGATGTCCATTTTCACTTTATCCGGGAAAAAGTAAACGAAAAAAAAATCAAAGTCGAGTACGTTCCGTCCGAGAATCAACGCGCGGATATATTCACGAAAGCTCTGCCGCGAGACCGTTTCAGAAATCTGTGTTTTAAATTAAACATGATAGAGATTCACGAGAAACACTTGAACGGCGGTAGTATTAAGAATAGCTGAGTTCAGCGCATTTCTGTTGGTGAATGTACAGACACATATTCCCCTATGTGAATGTACAGAAAACGAGTCGAGCGCGACTCGGGTAGCTTCGGCAGCTCTCGTGGCTCGAAGTTAGCCCGAGCGGCAATTATACTGTGTCGTCAGTCTCAAGTCTCATGCTGACTGGAAGAGCACGCAAAATACAGTTTTTTGTTTATTAAAGAGAGCACGTTTATATTACACCGACTTAATTATTCCTCAGCCCGTTCACACAATCCTGCTTTAACAATATATATATATTTTAACAAGTAAATGATGAGACGGGCAACTGAGAGCCGATGCGCTGGGTGAGGGGCGCAAAAAATACATAATTCCGTGTATGTAAATTATGTTTATTAAATGTTTCGGTCCGAAAATTGGACCATCTTCAGTAATTTGACAAATAAAAATAATGTCAGGAGCGTGTCGATTACTCCATAGAAAATAATCGAGTGGGTTTAAATCAAGCGATCTTGCGGGTCATGCGATGGGACCACCTCAGCCAATTCAAGAATTTGAAAAATTTTATTTACCGAAATCCTGTGGAAACACTAGAAGAGTTAGAAGAACAGCTTCATTGTGCAATAGCAACCGTTACACATTAATTATTAAAATAACTCGAAGAAAGAAACGCGTTATTCGATGCGGAGACTACGCGACGACAACAAGCAGGTTATGTCGGTACTAGCGTTGCCGGCTGCCGGCTGCCGAACGACTGAATGTATCACATTACGCGTGATCGACGCGGACGCTATCATGTGTCCTGTAATCGGCTAAAGCCTCCGACATTGTAAATTCGATAGTTTCGAAAATATAAAACTATAAAATATGAAAATAATAAATCGGTAATAATCGGTAGATTGTGATTAACCGTTATAATCATTAATAAATTCAGTTTATCGATAAAGTGCGTGGATTAATTCGTAAAAGTTCGATAAGTGGTACAATTTGTGAGTGAAAAAAAGTTTGCTAGTTACACGGAACGTTGTGTCGCACGGAAATATTATTTATCGAGTCGTATGAGGGCAACGAATCTCTACATACAAGGTAAGAGTCAATGAGTGAGAGAGAGAGAAAGACAGAGAGAGAGAGAAAGAGAGTGCGTGTGTGCGATCAGCTGTTTGCTACACGCGATGGGTGTAAAAGAGAGAGAGAGAGGGGGGAGGAGGGAGGGAGAGAGGGGAGGGGGAGAGGAGAGGAGAGAGAGAGAGAATGTGTATATGTATATACGTATTGCTATAATTTATGCGAGAAATAATTCAACATTATAATAAACATATGTGCAATAAGAAAGTAAGCGAGTCTGTATGTAAATACTTACTTAGAATATTAGCGACAGTTTCTACCATATTGCCAAGTCCGGAAGATGCTACTTTCTTTTCGGCTAAGACCATGCTGCTTACGACTGGCCGGCCTTGAAGTAAGAATTTATCGAGCTCGTCAAGGCAACTGGCTAACTTTTGCTGCGTGGTGCCGACGACAATGAGTATTTTATTGTCTTCCTGCATATCAGCGATAAGACCTACGTCACCCACGGCTCCCCACTAAATCGCCAATCCGGGTAATCCATTATCCACTCTTTTCTCGCACACTCTT